AGCAGAGTTTAGGGCTGTTGTACATAGGGTCGCTATGAGTCGCAAGCGACTCGACGGCACATAACAACAACAACAACAACACTAGCCATTGATTAGTGTAATGAATTATGTCTAATCAACCCCACTTCCTTCAGGGGTCCCAGGCTTTGTGAATGAATTTTCTCTGGGAAATTGGTGCATAGTCCTCTCTGTGCCAGTCAGGTCTCTGCTGATTGGACCTTGAGTTCTTTCGATGCATGCATCAGTGAAGATCCAGCCAGTTTCTCCATCTGGTTTTGGTCCTAAGGGCCTGGTGATCAGGGACCTGCTGTCAAAGGTTCCTGCATGTTTGGTCATTCCCTGTAAACTCTACTTGTGACATGGCAGCCACACCTGCCCTTCCTCGGGTACCTCAACCTTGTTACTTGTTCCTTGTCACCCCAAGGTTTTGGAATCAAGTTGCTGTCCCAACTCTAACACCTTCTAGAGTCCATGATCACAGAGAACAATGACTCTGGCACTTTACACTCCCCCTATTGAACATACAAAGCCTTGGTAAAGGTGGCATCTTCTGAACCTTCTCTAGGGACGTGATCTGTCTATGAAAAATTCAGTCCAATAACTGTGTTGAAATAATAAATGAATCTTCTTAATCCTTTGAAATTTTTCCTCCACGTCACCCCAGGAAATTTTTGGCATCTCAGCTGCATTTAGTGAGGCTCATCTGTCCTTCAGCCAGGCAACGAAAATTAGAACTTTAGAAGCTTGAGCTAGCACATCAATCCATATCTCTGCTAAGGGCAGTCTTGAGACTAATTTGCACCTGATCCAGGCCATGGTCTTTGCACTTACTTGCTATGCATCAAAGACCTGGAAAATGATGAAGGAGGAGAGAATTGATACCTATGAGTTGTGGTGGGGAGAAGAGTATTGAATATACAATGGACTGCCAAGAAAACAAAAAAAGTCTGTCCTGGTGAGAGTGAAACCAAATTGCTCCTTGGAGGCACAGATCTGAAGCTCTGTGACACATACTTAGGGCATATTGCCAGGAGGGACCAGTCCTTAAAGAAGGACATCATGCTCGGAAGGGTGGAGGGACAGCGCAGAAGAGGAAGACCCTGGATGAAATGGATTGATACAGTAACTGGAGTCATGGGAGTAGGTGTTTTGG